TCCTGCGGTACTTGAACGGGCTGTGGTGCAGATGAAACCTTTGCTCAGTGTGAAGCTCAAACAACCTCTTGGGGAAAGTGGATCCAGATTTCCTGTTTGGAACCCCAGCTCAGTTAGAAGCTGAGTTGATCCTTCCAGAGAGAGATGGTCCGAACAAATCCAGTTTGCAGGATGACTTCCTGCCGAGAGGCAAAGACAAAAAAACAAGTTAATACTCAGGTTGACAAAAACTCAGTTTAACTCAGCAAAACTCAGCTTGGCTAGAGAAACCAAAACTAGCAAACAAAAACTCAGGTTAAACTCTGCTAAACTAAGCATGGCTAGAGTACCCTATATTGGCAAACACTCTTGCGTTGAGGTAGTGGCAGTCAGCAGCTTAAAAGTACTCCACAGGTAATGAGGCAACGAGCTTCAGGTGTGCAGAGAGGCCCAATGAGGACGGGGCACCACCTGGTGGAGGAGGAAAGGAAACACAAAAACAGACCACACAAACTGGATAGGTGCAGTTACAATTAAATATTGTCGTACCCCAGCAATGAACATAAACATGACTAGAGCTGAAACAATTAGTCGGATCAATTAAGTTATCGATTATAAAAATAATCATCAACTAATTTAGTAATCCATTAATCATTAACTGTATGGTTAACAAATATAGAGACTGTAAAATATACTTTTAGCTGACAGAACAAGTCAATTCAAGCAACAATTATAGCAAAATTGTAAAAAAAAAAAATATATATATATATATAAACATTTCTCCTGTGTCAATATGCTCTATCCACAACACCTCAAGTAGAAAAGTTTTAGTTTCACCTGGTTTAACTTTTCAAAATCATCTTTGGATTATTAATCAATTAATCCAAAAAATAATCAACAGATTAATGGATTTGTGAAATAATCATTAGTTGCAGCCCTAAAAATGACAGAATTTGGTGGAAAAATCTGTTATGGTTTTATTTTATTTATTTAGACAAATAATTATTAATTTCAGTTTTGATTTATTTCTTTTTTTCAACCTGTTTCATTTTGTAACACTTTTATTTAGTAATTCTACTGCATCCTACATATTATAACCGCTTTAATTTACAGTCTTTTGATCTTATGTTTTTAGAATATAAGCCGCATAATAAAATGACCCTAAATTTAAAAAGAGGTTAATGTTAAAATCAAATTTGCAGAAACAAAATACGAAAAATCCATCATGAAATAAAAAAATAAACAATTAAGTCTTTATTCAAAGAACTCATTAAATAGGCTAAATAATAGACATAGATTTAGACATAGATTTTTTTAATATTAAACCTATTCTCTGATAGTTCAATGATAAAAGAAAATGTTTTTTTATATAACAGCTGCTTGTTTTCAACTGCATAGAATTTAAATAAATAAGCAAACCTGGAATTCATTAACTTTGCATATAAACACATTTTATTTTTTGATAACATCCACATGCACTCATGCAGGTGTATGATTAAGGCCTGGATGTGACACAAAGTTTTCTTTATTGTCCTGTGAATAGAAACCACAGAGCAGCAAGAACATTCTGGAAAACTTAATATGCCAAACATCATCAGTTTTTTAAAGGAGACGTCCTGATCTAAACTTTATATCAGAAATTAGTCCAAAATCAGCCAAAAAATTATCGGAAAATATTAACCTAGATCTACAACCTTT